ATAAAAAAATAAAATTGTTAGAAAATAAAATTGTTAAAAAATTCCAATTAAAGATAACAAATGACATACATTTGTATACAACTAATAATTGTACCCCAAAATCCCAGTTGACCAATGACCTCATGCAATGGTCTTTCCTTTACGCAAATCTCTTCAAATACATTCGATATACCGTAACAAGTTGCTGCAATAATGGCAAATATATCGCCTTTGATTGGATCTTTAGCTAAAGTCAAAAACAAGTAGATTTAATATAATAAGCATCTTATCGGCTATTAAACGGCTTATAAATTTTAGAAATAAAATAAAAAAAACTAGTTCACTAACCAAAATTCATATTTTTACCAACATCAAAATCACCCAAGATCACTATTCCAAAACCGACCATACAAATAATAATACCCAAATATTGACTTGAGCGATATGTTGCTTTCAAGAATATAAGTGATAAAACTGCAACTATAGGTGTTGTCCATGCATCAAGTAACATGAGAGAAAGTGCAGATGTGTATTCAAAAGCTTTTACAATTAAATAATTTCCTTGAACATTCATAAGAGCAATTAGAATATCTAAACATATATAAATATCATTAATACGTTTATTTCATTCAGATCAATGCTAATCTTTATGTAAATTAAAATCTTACTAGAAAAATGAATTATAAACCTTACATTTCCAAGCCCTGATTTTCATCATTTTTAAAAATCCCTCAAGCCCGTATTTATCAATAGTAATCGGCGTACAAGTAATAAATAACACGAAATACGTTAAAAAATTTTGAACAGTAGGTGCATTAATTTTCAATTCTGCGGTTGCCACTAATGTAGTGGTAATACAAAATGAAAGAAATTGGCCAAATAAAAATATTATAAGAAATTGTTTTGTAAACATTGATGAAAAACTAGTTTTAATCCACGAGATCCATGAGGATCTTTCTTTTGCCGATGATTCTTCATGAAAAAGCGGTTCAGTTGTAGAAGCAGAAGAGAGAGAAATGGATGACATCTTTGTTTACAATATAAAGTATAAAGTATATAAGACTATGCGGAACAATATTTTTTTTTGATTCATATCTTAAAATTAACCTACGACCAAGCCTTTTATTTAAAAAAAGATTCGGTCAAAATTAATTTTGTATGACTTACAAATCATGCTTAACAGATCATCGCTTCATTAAAAAGATCTCTCGTAATCTTTTGCCGGCAAACAAAAACCGAATAACCCGAATTCACATTGTATTAAAATTTCCTAATAAATAGTGTTACTCAAATGTTTAAAATTGATCATCTAATATTTCGAACAATGTCGTTGGTCTTTTCATATCCCAGAAATTTAGAACGTCCCAAAAAGTATTAGATATGATGATCAAGTATATACCGTATGAATACGTGTGTATATTGAATTGAAGATTATCATAAAAATGCATTGTGTATGAGCAATCAATACCAACCTTAGCATATAAATTAACAAATATGTGAAAGTTACCGGAAGAACCTTCTTGTCGATCATACAATTATTAATACATAATTACGCTTGGGGCAAAAACCGTTTCAATATGTCAATCTTTTGCTCAAATAGTTAGCCTTTGGAAATAAAATTAATAACTTTATGTCGAACATTAAGATTCCACGTGATATCACAGATATATTAAGGGGGAAGATCTACGGAGGGGATAACTACCGACACAGCAACACGTGATTTATCTCGACACAGCAGATGATCTACATGAGTACACCAATTTTGACCAATCAAATCACGAAGTACATATTATATGTAACGTGAATGAGAGAAGATATCTTGACAACCACCAAGTCATATTCGATGAACATATTTTAATTTTACGGATCTATAGAATTAAAATAAAGAAAAATTCATCAAATTTGACTTGTTAGTTGTCGACATATCTTCGTTGAAATTTGAAAAATTCAAAAACGTCTATCAAAATAGAAGCTGCGCCAAACATTTTTTCAAACTTTGAACGAAGGTATCTTGAAGCTAAATTCGATGTGTTTTTTTTTATAAAAATCATCAAATTTGACTTGTTATTTGTCGAGATAACTTCGCTCAAAGTTTGACAAAATTCAAAAACGTCCACCAAAATAGAAGCTGCGCCAAACATTTTTTTCAAAATTCTACGAAGATATCTTGACAACCACCAAGCCAAGTTCTATTAACTTTATTTGTGTTCTACAAGTTTGTAGAATTTAATTAAAAAAGTTCATTGAATTTAACTTGGCAGTTGTCAAGATATTTTCGTTCAAAGTTTTAAAAAATGTTTGTCGCAGCTTCTATTTTGATGGACATTTTTGAATTTTGTCAAACTTTGAGTGGAGATATCTCAATAATTAAAAAGTCAAATTCGATGAATTTATTTTATTTTAATTCTATAAATTCGTAGAATTAAAATAAAAAAAGCGCATCGAATTTGACCAGGTGGTTGTCAAGGTACCTTCGCTCAAATTTTGTCATTCGCATTATTAAAAAAAATACGCATAATATGTATTCCGTAATTTGATTGGTCAAAATTGGGGTACTCATGTCGATCATCTGCTGTGTCGATAAGGAGATAAATCACGTGTTGCTGTGTCGGTAGTTATCCACAATTTTTATTGGCCGATTGTCACATGGTTTCGCATATGGTGAATCATAAAGCAATAGTCAATTACATGTGATCTACCAATCACGTGAAAGTTAGCCTATGCATGATACCTAATATATTTAGCCGGCTAAGCCGGCATAGCCGGTTTTTATAAAATCGGCTTAGTCAGTCGATAATTTTGGCCCGACTAATATCCATATTTGAGTTATAGGCAAGTTTTAGCAAAAAAATGTTGTTTTTAATTTTTCTGATCGTGTGACGTTAGTGTTACGTTACACCTGATCTTCAACTGTGATTGGCTTTTGGTCACGTTCTGAAAAATTTTTGGTGGTGTTCTTGGGGTAGTTCTAGTCGGTCGGCTAGCCAACTGCAAGCCAACCGAACCCATCCCTACCCTAGACTCCTAGAGGGATCGGGGCTGTGCAGGCTGCGCAGTAGAATCAAAATTTTTTGATTTGCACATCCATAGGTAGAATTTATAGTAAACAAGTACAGTATAGGTTTTTAAGATGTTAAAATCACGAACCCTACTTACTATTAAATTCATTAAACCATAAATTACTAACTGTTGAAATTACTACCCACTATTTTCATGGTTTGCAAAATGGCGGATAAATTTTGTATGAAAATGTATTACT